TATCGTTCAAGAGTTGTCTTTGGGGCTGGGGCGCTTGCCTAGCATATGTGAGGCACTGGGTTTGATTCTCAGCACCACATATAAGTAAATAAATCAAACAAAAATCCATCAAAAAAAAAAAAAAAGAGTCATCTTTGTTCATTCAGTGGTATCTTTTTTGACTCAGGGGCCAGTGGCCACAATTGTCCCTATCTGGTCAGCACCATGGGCCAGAGTAGAGGCTGTGGTGGAGGTGGCCTGGACATGGCCAAAAGTCTGGGGTAACAGCTGCTGTTGTCTTAACTGTTTCCTTCCCTTGGTGTCTGTAACTCATGTGATGAGTGCCAGACTCATGTCCCTTTTCCTTCTTGCTCCTCTTTGGGGTAGTATTGCCCATAAGCAACCCCTTCTTAATGTCACCCAGAGGGTCCCAAGTGGACTCTTCTAACCAGGACCCTGTGAAATCTCATTTCAGGCTCTTGTTTCCCTCAACTTTAGGAAAGGCAGGAAATGGAAAATGGCTCTGAGAGACTTAGCCCAGGGCTTGACACACACACACACACACACACACACACAGCTCAATTATGCCGGCTGGAGTCACCAGGAAGCGAGATTCCGAGTGGACGACTCCAGTGAGGGTGCAGCTGGAATTTTCCAAGTTACTCCTGTAGGTCACACAGGAAGCTGATCTGTGGCAGGGGAGGGGAAGTGGACACTTGGCTTGCCTCTATGTCCCCCAGAACCCTATGCTGTAGACACTCTAGTTCTTATCTCACCAAGGCCTACAGAGTGGTGAGCTCTACTCTAGGTCATTCCCTAGTGGCTACCATTGAATGACTCCAGGGTCAACTTCAACTGGAGCCACAGCCTCATGGCCCACAGGAGGACTCAGAGAGGTTCAGCCCCGACAGGCCTACACCAGCATCGAGAGAATAACTGGTGCCCCTTCCAGGACACCTTCCCTGGAGCCACGGGGCCTCCTTCCCTCCCTTCATCTGTTGAGGATTCAGGAAGGCTTCTGGGGTGCCCCAGGAACAGTGCTCCATCCTCTGGTGAGAAAGTGAGTCTGCAGCCAACGTCAGAAAGAAAAGAGCCCTCACTCAGCACCTGCTCACTGTGCATGTTGTCATGTGCTAGGGTCACTGCATGAGTGAGGTGTGGTGTCTGTCCTCGGGAACTCACAGTCTGGTTGGGCTGTTATTCAACTGTTATCCAGCCCCTGTGGGCCCAGCTGGCTTCGAGAGCACCCAAGAGAGTCTGGGAGTCCAGGGAGGCTCATCAGAGGAGACAGCTGAGCTGGGCATTGAAGAATCAGGAGTCTACTGGCTGCATCAGAGGGCAGCATAGAGGGGAGGGAAGGGGCAGTGAACTCCCACATGAGGGGTTCCCAGGGTGCTGGGCCCCTGGCATATCCTATCTCTCTCTCTCTCTCTCTGGTACCAGGGATTCAACCCAGGGGTGCTTAACCACTGAGCAACATCCCCAGTCTTTTAAATATTTTTTATATAAATACAGAGTCTTTCTGAGTTACTTAGGCAGATTTTTTTTTTTTTTTTTTTGTGGTGCTGGGGATTGAACTCAGGGCCTTATGCATGTGAGGCAAGCACTCTACCAACTGATCTATACTCCCAGCCCATCTGAGTTACTTAGGGCCTCACTAAGTTGCCGAGGCTGGCTTTGAACTTGCGATCCTCTTGCCTCAGTCTCCTGAGCTGCTGAGATTACAGCCTTGCATCACCACTCCCAGCACATCATATATATATTTTTAATATTCACAACCCTTTGTGGAGGTGCCATTATGATTTTACATATGAGGAAAAACGAGGCTGCAATGTTAAATGAATTTCCCAAGATTCTTTGAGCAGCTCAGAAAGGTCAAAATCCTTTTCACAGTAACAGGAAATGAGAGTAGTTGGCATTTGCATTGATGGCCGCAGGCAATATAAAGTAAAACACCCCATGCCTCCACACTCATCAAGACCTGGATGGCAAATGGTACCGGCTGTATTCTTTCTATCCTAAGTATTTAGTTAAAAAAGAAAAAAGTCAGTTTCATTTAAGAATGTCTTTGATGAACCAAAAATCGTTAATGCTAACCTTCAAGGACACGTGTTTTTAATATTTTGGGAGGTGAAGTAGGAAGCCTGAGTAGCTCACTTCTGCACACACAAACAATGACAATTGCCAAGGGAAAAGCACTTCAGTGACTGCTTGAGTTATAGGCTAAACTAACCACTGGTTAATTGGCCTAGTTTTCTTCTTTAAGGTTTCTATATTTTCCAAGATTTATTTATTTATTTATTTATGTGCTGGGGATTGAACCCAGGGGCGATTAACCACTGAGCCACATCCCCAGCCCATTTAATTTTGAGACAGGGTCTTGCTAAGTTGCTTAGGGCCTTGTTAAGTTGCTGAGACTGGCTTTGAACTTGCCATCCTCCTGCCTCAGCCTCCTGAGCTGCTGGGATTACAGGAGTGCACCACTGTTTCTGGCTGTTTATTTTTTCATGGAATACTATTTTTCCTGGAAAGAATGATTGACAAACTATGGTTATTCAGACTTGCATATTCGGTAGATAAATTCTTGAAAATGAACAAAGCCAGCCTGCCACTTCAAGAAGAATAGCTAACATGTATCTCTTCTGCCAGTTGCAAAGTTTGAACTTTCAAGCAAAAAGTGGAATTTTAGAAAGCTTGTATTTTTCAGTTTCTCAGTACGTACACCTTTCTGGTGACGTTAATGGTGATATTAATGAAGGTGATGTTTTTGGTATCGCATAATGAAATGTGTCAGCATTTGGAAGATCTGCACAACTCAATGAACAAAATTTTTTCCAAATGACGGATGTAGATGTTACAGAATCATGAATGGGTAAAAGATTCATTCAAAGTGCAAGGTAGAATAATTAGTTGTAATGTAACAGGGAACAAAATGTTCAGTGATCTAGTTTCATGTTTCACATTGCAACTTACCTTTAAGAAGTTCAAGAGATACTACTTAATGAGTTTAGATGTGGTTTCAAAGGATATTCACAGTTACCCAAAAGTTCATTAAAGTATGTGCCTCCTTCCAGCTACATCTCTGGCTACATTTTCTTCATAGATATTGACCAACATGTCAACAAATTGGATGTAGATGTAGATATGATAATCCAGCAACAGTATTAAGGAGATTTATAAACATGTAAAAACAGTATTACTTTCCTTTGCTTTAGAAGTTACAACTATTTTTCAAAGAAATATGTCACTTATATTAGCATGTATTGGGTGTCTCATTATATTAAATTAATTGCTAAGTAAATATCTTAAATGCCTTAGTTTTAATTTCTATTGTAGTAAAATTGGATAGATGTGAATCCCGTAGATCAAAGCTCTTTGGAGTTCACAATCATTTTGAAGAGTGACATCTTGGGACCAAAAAGCTTGGGAACTGCTGCCCTACGGAATCACAGCCCCTGGTCTCTTGCTGGGTCAAGCAGGTGCATTCCTATCTCTGGTAATCCACGAAGAAGGATTTTGGACAGAGTTTCTGGCCACCCTCCTGGAGGGGCCACCCAGTAGACTGATAGGCTCAGGTGAGGAGATTCCCTAAGTCTAGTAGGACACCGTGGAATGCGTCTTACTGTATCCATAATGGAATCATACAATATATGGAAGGTTTTTTTTTTTCTCTTCTCTCTATTTTTATTTGTTCTAATTAGTTACACATGACAGTAGACTGCATTTTGACACATCATACATAAATGGAGTATAACTTCTCATTCTTCTGGTTGTACATGGTGTAGAATCATACCTGTCACATCAGTCATAGATGCACATAGGGTAATAATGTCTGATTTATTCTACTATCCTTCCTAACCCATGCCCCTTCCCCTTCTTTCATTCCCCTCCATCTAATTCAAAGTACTTTCCCTAGCCCCTCCCTTTATTGTGAATTAGCATTTGCACATCAGAGAAAATATTGGGCCTTGGGTTTTTTTTTTTTGGATTGGCTTATTTCACTTAGCTTGTTATTTTACCATTTACCAGCAAATGCCATAATTCCATTCTTCTTCAAGGCTGAATAATATTCCACTGTGCATATATACACCACATTTTCTTTATCCATTCATCTGTTGAAGGGCACCTGTGTTGGTTCCATAGTTTAGCTATTGTGAGTTGAGTTGCTATAAACATTGATGTGGCTGCATCACTGTCGTATGCTGATTTTAAGTCCTTTGGGTACAAACCAAATAGTGGGATAACTGGGTCAAATGGTGGTTCCATTCCAAGTTTTCTGAGGAATCTCCCTACTGCTTTCCAGATTGGTTCCATCAATTTGCAGTCCCTCCAGCAATGTATGAGTGCACCTTTTCCCCCATATCCCTACCACAATTATTATTGCTTGTATTCTTGATAATTGCCGTTCTGACTGAAGTGAGATGAAATTGTAGAGTAATTTTGATATGCATTTCTCTAATTGCTAGAGATGTTGAACATTTTTTCATATATGTGTTGATTGATTGTAGTTCTTACTCTGGGAAGTGTCTGTTTATTTCCTTATTATTGGGTTTTTGTTTTTTTGGTGTTAAGTTTTTTGCATTCTTTATATGTCCTGGAGATCTAACTGTGGTGCAAGTGGCAAAGATTTTTGGAGGTAGGTATTTTTTCAAAAGAGAAATGAAACATTTTCTAGGAAGATTGTTGATTTTTAGAACCAGAAAATTTGCATAAAAACACTTTAAAAAGTCAGGAATGACAATAACAAACTCATTAAGGAGAATCAGTCTGGGCATTTTCTTTTAAAAGCATCCTTCTGCCCAGGCTGCTCTTTGGTAGTTCCAGAGCTGGAGGAGAAGTTGTACAATTGCACTGGTGGGATTGGCATCCCTTGGTGGGCTTCTCGGGGAATCTGTTGGTTTTGTGAGATTTCCTCTGGCAGCTGAGCTACAGTGCTGAATGGATCCAGCAGCTGCACCTACCAGGGTGGAATGAGCAGGGTGCGATGTGTCTCTCCATTTTCCCTTTTGTGTCTCCCTCAGGGGTGAAGAAGAGAACCAAAGTCATCAAGAACAATGTGAACCCCGTGTGGAATGAGGTATGTGTGTGTTTTTATCCTATCCCCTCTCCTTTTCCTCCTCCTCCTCCTCTTTCTCTTCTTCTTCTTCCTCTCTTCCTCCCTCTGTCTCTCTGTCTCTCTCTGTCCTGTCTGTCTCTGCAGGACAAGTTAGGGGCTTTGGCAGAGGTGGCTTTTCTCAGTGGTGTCCTACAGGGGCTGGTTGTCCAGAATTCTAACCAAAGTCTCCTGATGGGGTCTTGGATGCACCAGGAGCCTTTGCTGTGGGGCAGGCTGAGGAGCCTCTGGCAGGGCTACCTGACATGGCACTACTAAGGGCGTGGCTTTTGAATGAGCACAATCTTGGACTCTGAGGACCCTGCAGGGTTACATGGCATGTTTCCAACTATGCTTTTGACCTGTTTTGCTGGCATGAGTTGGAATTGAGTTGGACCATGGAAGAGTGGACCACGAGAGTGTGGCCTCCTCTTCTGTTGCTTTCAGCTCTCACCATCACCTCTGAGGCTCTGGAACTCTGATATTCATTCATTCAGTGGTGCATCCAACCATCCACCCACTATCTATGCATCCATCCATCCACCTATCTATCCATCCACCCACTCACCTTCTTGAATGTATGCATGAACACAAACCAGACAGTCTCTTCTCCTGGGAGCCACAGGTTAAGATATCTTTTCTTCTAGGGCTTTGAGTGGGACCTCAAGGGCACCCCCCTGGACCAGAGCTCTGAGCTTCACGTGGTGGTCAAAGACCATGAGACCATGGGGAGGAACAGGTGAGATGGGGGCTCCATGGCTTGAAAGCACAGGTAGGTCAAGGTGTATGTAAACTCCAGAATCTGGGCTGGAGAGCTGGTGTTTGAGTTCAGCATTGATTCACTGGGGACCGCCTCTCCTGGGCCAGAAGAAGTGGTCCTCAGTAGATGCTCGGAACAAACTCAGCTCTGGCCTCAGGAACATGGCCGCGGGTACAGCTGAGAGCTGCCCAGGTTGCAGGGGAGAGAAGATGGGCTTGAATCAGGTGACCCCAAGTTTTTTCAGATAGCGTGTTCATGTGCCCCAGGAGCAGGGAGGAGAAGGCTCCCTGTCTCTTGCTCCAGCCCAGAGGCAGGTCCTCCCTTCCCCCTCCTCATTCCCTCCCTTCCCAGGCTGGGCTGGTGAGGGCGGGCAGGCAGAGCGAGGCTGCAGCTAGTGGAGCACCGTGGAGGAGGGCTTTGTAGAAGACACGGGACTGAAGGTGAGATTTGTGGTTTAGAAGACAGAACAGTATTCATGGGCAATACAGACTGGTATTTCTCTGCGGCAGGTTTCTGTTGAGTTCTTTCATGTACCTGGTGGGGGAAGGGTTTCTGGGTAGGGGAACTTGCAGGAGGAAAGTCATGGTGGCAAGACAGGCAATGAATGTCACCTCTGCCATTGAGCTCCTGAGTCTTCCTGTATTTGCTAGTGGGGGGAATGGGCAAGACCAACCCACCTTGCTCACTGATGGAGCTGGGGATTGTGGTGTGTTGGACTGGGAGACTGGGAGACTGCAGAGTGACAAGCCTTGCTCACTGGGGAGGGGTTCAGTGGTCCCTGATGGGTATGACAGGGGGCCACTGTGTTAGAGCCAGCATAACGCCTGGTACTGTTTGCTGATGTCTGAGACCAAGGCGCAGGCTTGGGTTTGCTGTTCTGTGACCCATTCACAGGGGAGCCTTTGTCTGGGAACTGGGTCAGCGTAGCCAGTGTCTGAGGCCTGGAGGCTGACTATGTCTTCCTGTGATATGGGAGAGGAGGACTAGGGAGGATCGCAGGTGGCCAAACACCCAGAAAGTTTGAAATCTTAAAAATATGGAAGAAAAATCCTACACTGCTGTGTCTTTGTAGCACCTGGGGCTTATAGATTCCAGCCCCATGGCACAGGGGGCGGGTGGGAATCAGTTCAGGTTAAGCTACCTTGCCACACAGAGACTGTGGAAGATGAAGTGGCCTCCATCAAACCTAGATGGCAGACATTGGGCATTCCTTGAAGGCTTCCTGGAGGAGGCCCACATTGACTTGGAGTTGGGGCAGGCTCTGGAGAGGGTATTCCAGTGTGGATGTGTGGAGGGCAGCCTGGCTCAGGCCTTATGGTGTGTGTATGGAGGTCTGTCTCATGACATATGCAGCCCTTTGAGGAGGGGGAAGTGGGGCTGCACTGGGTCTCCAATGCCAGGCTAGGGATCTCGACAGTAAGACCACCCACCTGATGCTTACCAAACGCTTGGCAGAGTACCTGGCCCTGTGCTAAGCCTTATAGACAAGATCCTTTTCCATCACTGAGGGACTACTACTGTGATCATCTTCATTACAGGTGGGGAAACTGAGGCTCTGAGAGATTGGTCAGTTTCCTCAAAAGCTGGTGATGGTGGATCTGTGATTGGAGGGCAGGTCATCATGACCTGATCATAATCCTTGAACCCTGCGCCTCAGGGGATTCTGGAAGCCCCAGGTGGTTTCTGGGCCCATCTGGAGAATTCATTTCCCCCAGTGATGCTGGAATTGAGGGTTTAGTGAGGGAAAGGTAGATAGGTTACAGCAGGGCATGCCGAGGAAATGCACGTTTTATTTTCACAATTATGTTCCGTGTTATTATAAGCTGTCGGGGGCTTGTTTTCTCAGACCACAAAGACAATGTGAGAGAAGGGGCTATGAACATATTTTTATTCAATTCAAGGATCAGGCTGAATCCTCAGAATGACGGTAAGCCAGGGTCACACATAGGCTGTGGGTCATGTGTCACATAGAGGGGGCTGGGTGCATTGAACCTTGCGGCCTTCCTACTGGCCCTCATGGATGCCTTTTAGATCCTGGGGGTAGCTGGCTCCCTGAGAATCAGTTCCCCATGACCAAGTCACTGCAGGTCAGTTTTGAGATCAGTTCCTCAAATTGCAAAACAGCTAAAGTTACCGAACTTAACAATTTACTTATAACTATAAATACAGTTAAATTTATATAGTAAATTATTACTATTGGTATAATTTTTCATACCCAAGCACTTACTTTAATTTTGTAGTTTAAGCAGTTAAAAATTAAATTGCAATTACACTAAATTAAAATGTAGTTATATCCATAAATATCTGAAGAATATGAGAAGCTGTCAAAGCAACGTTGTCCTGGAAGAATGTAATAGGCACAAATGGGGTGAGCAGCCTCCACAGCAGTTTGCTCGACAGTCCAGTGCCTGGGGGTGTCCCCATCTGGAGCAGCAGGAGAGCAGGGTCCTATGATTAGATGGAGAAGTACTTTCTCAATTAAAAAAAAAAAAAATCAGAGCCTTGAAGCATGAAAAATTCTAAGACTGTCAAAATGAGAAACATTCCAGGAAGTGACAAGAGCAGCCACAGGACATTTTAAATATTGAAAGAAAAGGGAGAGAGTTCAATGAACTCAGTTCCAGGATCCTTTGACACTGAACGCCCACTCACTACCTTCAGGCCAACACTGTCCATTCAGGAGGTGATGGTGACTGTAGTCATCCAGTTGTCCTCAGACCTCCGGTGGGTTTCAGCGAGGGCCCACGGAGTTCCCATGGCCAGCCCCTTCACTGCTGGGATTCCTGGGTGGGTCCTCCCTGGGCCTTCTTCCAGCAGGGGCTCAGGGACCACAGCAGTACTTCACTCATCTGTCTCCACCTCATCTCTGCTCCCTCTTCCAAACCTCCATCCTCCTCCACTTACCTCCATCTGTGTTGAGAGTCCCCTCAGCGCCTCCCTCATTCTTTGTAACCACTTTCCACACCTTTTGTGCACAAGTCTCTTGCTCTTCTCCTTTTCTTTCCAAACCCCCTCCTCTTTTAATTCATTCTCTCCTTCTCTTCCCCCTTTTCCATCCCACTCCTCTTTTCCTCTGGCTTCTGGGGCATTTGGGACTTCTGTCTTTTCTTCAGTGATCACTGGCAGTTTTGGGGTGGCCTCCTTAGATCAGGTCTGCTGGCCTGGAGTGGGATCGTGGGAAGCACTCCATTCATTCATATCTCAGGAAGGGGACCTTAGTCTTGGAACTGTCTCAAGGCTGTTTAATACCCCCTCTACCCACCCGTGGGGCAGCCCCAAGCCTGAGCGACCCTGAGCCAGCTTCAGGGCTGGATTAACTTTGTGTGGCCAAAAATCAGGTTTCAAATGCTCATAAAAGGAAGCTCTGCTCCTCTGGATGGAAGACACTGAAGCAATCCAGCTGGAGGATCTCGAATCTGGTCCTGGGCTGCCCTGGACACTTCCTGTTTACTCTGGGCCTTTCTGTGAGGAGGAGACATGATCCTGGTCTCTGACCGAGTGTTTGGGCCTGTGGGATGTTCAGCTCCGAGGCGCTGATTTCTAGTTCAGAGCAGGGGTGTCCGACTCCCCAGGGGCTGGGCCTTTCCCCTGTGCTGCTGGACTGAGAGCCACCCAATCCCGATTCCAGACTAGTTCTCCCCAGTAGAACTTTCTGAGGTTATGGAAATGTCACATCTGAGTGGATTAGGGAAATGGAGGAGCTGGGTCTTCCAATTGTATTTCATCTTAGTGACTTTGAATAACGCCATGTGTCCAATGGCTACTGTATTTAGACAGGGCAGCTCTAGATTTTTTAGAACGGTGTTCTAACCCTGGCTGCCTCTTAGAATTACCTGGGAATTTAAAAACATACCCATGTCTGAGCTCCACACCAAATAGATCAAACAAGATGCTTCAGTGGGGCTGCAGGCATCAGGGCTTTTGGAAACTGCCCACAGGAGGCCAGGGTACGCCCAAGGTGGAGAACCCATGGAGTTAGAGCCACGCTGCCACTTTGAAAAGGAATCGCTTTCAATTTTGTTCATGGATAAGCTGAGGAATAGATATAAGCAGTTATTCTCGTAATTGCTTGAATATGCAATCACCATAAAATTGTTAAAATAAACAAAACAATAAGTACTAAGATAAACTAAGTAAAAACAATAACAAACAATGCATAATTATTTAATAAAATGATTTTAAAAATATAAATAAAAATATATTTTTTTGGTACAGGGGACTCTCGCTTAACCACTGAGCCATATCCCAGCCTTTTAAAAATATTTTATTTAGAGACTTTTAATATTTTATTTAGAGACTGAGTTGCTTAAGGTCTTGCTAAGTTGCTGAGGCTGGCTTTGAACTTGTGATCCTCCTGCCTCAGCTGCTAGAGCCACCGGGATCACAGGTGTACATCACTGTACCCAGCATAAATATTAAAAGAAAGCTGAAACTAAACATGGTAAAATTGTTAGAGAAATGAAAAATAGAACAAAGAATCCTGCTGGTAACTAAACCCTGATATATGAAAATGAGACTTATTAAAATACAGTTCCAGGGGCTGGGGTTGTGGCTCAGTGGTAGAGCGCTTGCCTAGCATGCGTGAGGCCCTGGGTTCGATCCTCAGCACCACATAAAAATAAATGAATGGAATAAAGATATTGTGTCCAATTACAACTGAAAAAAAAAAAAAAACAGTTCCATAAAAGGAGCTCAAAATGTCAGGGAGTGAGTGATATTTGATAAAACTGGATGTGGACCGAAAAAAGGAAGGAAAAAAAATTCTAAGAACCCAATCTGTGTTGGGAAATTTAGGCAGAAAGTAATTGTTCCTAATGAAAATAATATTTTTAAAATGAAAATAAAGATGGTAAAAAAGAAAAAAGGAAAGAATTTAATTGTGCTGCATAGAAAATGTAACAACATATTAAACTAGCTTAATTTGTTCTGGAAAATGCCCCTAGAAATTAATTAATAGAGTTTTTTTTGTGTGTGTGTGC